TAACAAAGAATGCAGACTGGGGGACCCATGTCGTGTACATCTGTGCGGTAATGGGCCCTGCGAGCCAGCACTGTGCTAAAATATTTCATGGCGGTTTGAGCTCACAGGATGTGTTGAGACCGCAGCATCATCCAGCTCAGTGCTGCGAAAGATTTGCCTGTGAAGAAAAGCATCAGTCCTGTGATGATCTGAAAACATTTGGGTACCTAAATATTTTTTTGATACAAATAATGTCTCCAGTACAAGCTGCTGGATTGATATACGCAGTTCAGTTACTACATAGTGAATTTCATTTGTGTGAATGTTAGAAGCTATTTTGTTACTCACTCACAGGCTTGTACAAATGAGAAGAAAAATGTAATTCAAATGTAGGTACGTACACTGGAGATGTAAATATAAACAAGATGACAAAGAAATGCTTTATTTGTAGTTAATTTATTGATGTTTTCTCAGGACCTCATTAATCAAGGAAGAGAGAAGGTTGTGGAAGCAACCAACAGTGTAACTGCAGCAAGAATTCAGCCCCTTGAAGACATCATTTCAACTATAGTGAGTACAGCAGACAACTGTAGGTCTACACTGGGAGATGGGAAAATGTTGGATGTTATCACATAAACGACTGTTGTATGTGATGATTCAGCTATATTGTTGTGTTATTAATGACAGTGATTTCCAGTTTGTGCCAACCTTTATTACTGCAGCTTGCAGTAACCCTTCATGGCATCTGGATATCACAGAGCCTTACCAACCTAACACTTAACCATTACTATTGGCTTTGCACTGAAAATCCCAGCTTTCTACAAACAAGTATCTGAATTGTGCAGAAATAAGAACCATTTCCTGTTTCTTGTTCTTAGAATCTATCTTGGATTCATGCCTTTCTTGTTGCCAGTAATCTAGAGGCGTATTACTGAAACTGGTAGTTTTAAGAGCTGCTAACTCTTAGTTTGAATTCTGGGGAAGTATAATTTTGCATTTTGTAGGAACAGGGCTGTGCTTTAACTCCTGATGCAACTCTGAATATAATGCAGGACTTCAGTCACCGTTACGCTTCTGTCAGAATGCCTAACGCTAGGACATTTTTTTTCCTTTTCAGTGGAAAGAGAATGTAACGCTTACAGAGAGCCAAGTGCAGGCCCTGGCCCTGAGCAGACAGGCAAGCCAAGAGCTTGATGTTAAGCGACGAGAAGCCATCTATAACGACGTCCTGACTAAACAACAGATGGTAAAGTGTCTAATAATCATTTGATCGACTGCCCACGTTTGAACGGAGATATTGAGTGTGAACTTTTCGTGTGTGTGTATAGAGGTCTATGTTTAGATACATAAATACTTACTCACAGGTTGTGTGTTTCCACGGGTCAAGTATTTGCTGGCATTGTGTAATGGTGTATGTGATGTAACATTGGGAGTTGTTGACTTGTGCAGTGTGCTGGGCTGGATTCCTCAACCTCATCGAGGGAGACTCCGTGAGAAGATGGTTTCAAAAAAACCCTCACCAGATTTTTCTCTTGAAGTAGTTTGCTTGAAAGTAATGAAGCTTGAAGAGCAATCTAATTCCCAGAGCTAAAGATGAATCATAGAAAGTATTGGTAACATCTTTTAGCTTAGAATTATTTTTGCAAAATCTGAAAGTTGCCCAGTTTATGTCAATTAGAAGAGTTTCTCTTAGGCAAATGTGCAGTGATGATCCATGTGCAGGACTTTCAAAGGGCTGATAAATAATACCTGACAAAAAAAGCTGTAATTTGTTCTATGGAGTCATTTCACAGGATAGTGCAAGTAGGAACTTGCCCAAACGTGGTATGAAATGCAATAGGCAAATCATTAAGAAGACTTAGCCCTAAATGGTGTTACTAAATGGTTTCTGCAGCAATCAGCTGGTGAATACCATCGCATTAGTGATGGTGATAACAATAGTGCTTTTTCATTCAGCCATGCGATCCTGAACAAATTGATTTTAACTCTGAACTTGATACTTGCAGCGTTGAGGCAGGTCGTGACTTCTAACAGCTCTGCTTTCCCTTCACAGTTGATCAGTTGTGTTCAGAGGATACTCATGAACAGAAGACTACAGCAGCAGTACAATCAGCAGCAGCAACAGCACATGTCTTACCAGCAAACAGCAATGAGTCATCTCATGATGCCAAAGCCTCCAAATTTAATCATGAATCCTTCCAACTACCAACAGATAGATATGAGAGGAATGTATCAGTCAGTGTCTGGTGGTATGCAGCCGCCGCCTTTACAGCGAGCACCACCCCCAATGAGAGGCAAAAATGCAGGGCCTTCCCAAGGGAAATCGATGTGATTTTGCACTAAAAGCCTAAAGGATTGTTAAAGTCAGAGAAAGAACTTTTATTTTTTTAGGAATCAATGGCTTAACAGAACTCAACTGTAAAAAAAAAAAAAGAAAAAAAGAAAAGAAATGAAAAAAAAAAAAAGTTTGGTTGGTCCCCTTAAATGCCATGTTCCATATTAGTGCTTCAGCTTTGTTTAAGTAGGACAATGTTTTCCCTTGTTGTCAGTGATGTTGCCTAGAATCTTCTTACATATGTTGAGTACAGGAGATGCCAAGTTGTTTTCAGTGAAAACAAGTGCTCCCATAACAGTAGTATCTCTGCAGGTTTCCTGTCTAAACTCCTATGCTTGCTTTCAGTAGCTGTGAAGCTATCATCAGATTTGAGAAGCTTAGGAAGGACTGCAGGTCTGTACGTTTCAGTATACCATATGTGAGTTGTGCACAGCTGAGTTCTTGATTAGACTTGATTCCTCAAATTATGGAATACTTTTCTGCTTACCCATTTCTTAAAGTTAGTGGGAATATTGTAACAGAAATAATTCAGCTTCCTTTTGACTGAGGTCTGGACTCATACTGTATCATCTATGCTGACTGGAGCATAGGAACTGAAAACACTCTGAAACAGAAATGAGTGCAATATTCTTAAGTACTACTGCTCTGAAACTTGTAAGTCACGCAGTTATATAGAAACTGTGTATACAGCCTTAAACAGTGACTTGGGGAAGAAGAGTGATCTTCCTCAGTCTTCTGCCATTTTTTATTTTCAGTTTTACGTGATGGAATAGCAGCTGGTGGTCTGGAGGTGTTTTTCCTTTTTCTCTGCGGAGTCCAGTGCAAAGCACATTTCTGTTAACTCCTTATTGCTGGTGCTGCTGTCTCGTCTGCTTGCCAACAGCGGGAGACAGGCCAAGAAAACAAAATTCCTGTTTTTTTGGGGGGGTTGGAATACTGGTGGTGGGCAGGGGCAAACCCTGTTACGCCATCAACTTTAAAATGGCACAACCATTGCTGATTTGGCACTGGAAGGGGCTCTCACAGCTTCCCAAGGTACCAGGGCAGAGGAATAACTTTTCCTCCGCTACATCACAGTTTTGGTTATGCACTCCTCTCCCTTCCCTTTCGTTTGTGTGAAAACATACCTTAGTACACAAAGAGCTCAATTCTTTTGTTTGTTTTTACATAGACTGCAGATGAACTTCTGGTTTATTATATATCATTAGCACTCTCTTTAGCCACAGTTTTTGTGCTCATGGAGATCTAACTAAACCCAAACAGGGCTTTTTTGAATATAGCTTGGTTGGCTCTTCCCCCACAAGAATAAAAGCGTTTGTAATTTGGGAGTGAAGGACGGAAGCATTTGAGGCGACGGTGTACGGAGTACAGGGAACAGAGAGAGAATGCTGGAGGAGCAGATGGATTTGCTGTAGGTGTTGCTGGATCTTCTGGCTTGCTGACATGAACTAAAACTGTTCTGGCTTCCGGAACTTAATTGACCTGGATGAACAGATTTCTTTTGCATCTAAATATGCAAATCTTACGTGATATTTCATGTCATGATCAAAACTTGGTTTGTGGTCTGGACAGTTTCTCTGCTCTGTTGCAAAGGCTGACGTTGCCATCGGACTCTTTGTTACAAGATGCCACAAATGAACCTCTCCTGTGTTCTGGAGCTTTGCCAGCTCTACTGTTAGGTTTAACCTGGGGGGAAGGGAGCAAAAACAGGTGTATTCACACTAGAAGAAATGCGAATGTGAGACTTTGAGACAAACATTTGAAGGCAAATGTACTCTGGGCAACTCTCACTGATGTTCCTATGCGTCTTGAATAAGAGAAGTATCTTCTACCAAACCTGGGAATGTTCAATGGAGTTTTACAGTAACTCAAAAGACTTAAATGTGGAAGTTTTAGGCAACATTTAACGGCACATTTTTTTCATTCTGGACAAAACTACGGATAACAGAAGCGTAAGAAGAAAGCTGAGAAAAGCGTTGAAGTAAAACTTGGACCACTTTGCATACATGTTTCTCACTTGACATTTTAGCTGCATAACAACGTGCTTTGAGTATAACATCAAGCTTTAACAAATATTTAAAGACAGAACATACATCAGTAAGATAACAAAAAGCTCATTTTTATATTTGTTTTAGATGTTTTAACTAGATGAGATGGCTTAAGACGGCGAATAAAAATGTTGCTTGTAATACAATTTTGCCTGCTAAATTCTCCACATTTTGTAACCTGTTTATTCCTTTGGATGTAAAGCGTTTTTGCTTAGTATTGTGATATTGTATATGTTTTGTCCCAGTTGTATAGTAATGTTTCAGTCCATCAACCAGCTTTGGCTGCTGAAATCATACAGCTGTGAAGACTTGCCTTTGTTTCTATTAGATGGCTTTTCAGTTCTGTATTAAATATCTTAAGTACTATAGAAAAGGTGTCACCTCTTCCTATAAGGCTGTTTTGTAATATATATAAGGACTGGAGATGTGTTTTTAAAGGACGAGAAGCATTCAAGTATGAATCAAGTATCTGTGTTTTCACCATTCAAAGTGCTGTTTAGTAGTTGAACCTTAAACTATTTAATATCTCATTTAATAAAGTGACCAAAATACATCTATGTGCCTTGTGCTACGTTTGCAGTTCCGCATCATCTCCACGTAGGCTGAGATCTCATCTGCTGAGAACTGCGGACTGGTGCTGCGCTGCGAGTCAAGCTCTCGTGTTCTGCCTCAGTGAGGTTCCTGGTATGGGACGTGGATGTTAATTGTTAGGGAGGGCAGCTGAGGGGACAGCTTTCCAGCTTGTGTGCATTAGCAGTGCCTTCTGCACTGGTCTGTTAGAAGCCACGAGCAGCGAGGTGTCGCCCAGCAGAGATAAACCACTAAGCGCAAGGGGAAGTTCTGCTTCCTCTGATTTGAATGATGAACTTAGGTCTTTCAACCTCTTTATTGTACTTCTTAATTACTTTCTTAGTTATTAAATCTCACGTGCCCCACTGTAGCTTCAGGAGAGCTGTGCTGCTGTGAAAGGCTGAAAGCCAGCTGTGCTTAGAGGTGCTGTGGCTCAGAAAGGTCTGCAGAGCTGCCTTCAGTGGCTGCAGTCCAGGAGATCTACAGCAAAGGGTCTGAGTCCTGAGGCATGTGGGATCTGTTGTTTCTGTTCCAGCACGGGACCTTGGTTTGTCTCCACGCAGGCTGTTGCCACACAGCAGCAACACAAAGTATTTTTTCAGCAGGTCAGAACCCCCTTCTTGCTGTGCGTGGTGACATAGGGGTGTCTGGGAACCTGGGGTGCAGGAAGGTTTTGGCAAAGAGCTGAAGTTGAAAGTGAGGACACTGTGCTGGAGAAGGGCAGAGGGACTGAGGGCAGGGTGAGATGGGCTGGGGCTGAGTGCAGGGGGAGAGAGGGAGGGAGGGAGGGAAGGATGTCCTCATTTTGCTCAGCCCCATCAAAGCCTGACCTCCAAATGCCCCTTCGGTTCTGTACTCAATGGCATTGCACATTGGAGCTGTTGGAGATGCTGAATATGAAACGGTGTGTGGTACCTGGGCTTTACTCAGCTTAATTGCAGTGCAGTGCCTGTTTGTATAATGGAATTGCACAAACGTGTGTGTTGTCTGTGGATCCTTGCTGACACCCACTGGAAGCAGCACAGGCAGAGACGTGTGCTTGTTGTGCCTCACCGTCATCGGCCACACTTGGATACGTGACATTGGTAACAGTGAGGTATGGTTAGGGAGGAGCACAGGATGCCCCAGTGGTCCGGCCTCGCAGATCTTTGGCACCAAACTACTCAACACAGGCACAGAACTACTTGCTTTGTGTTCCCATGGTGAGAATTCACAGCTCCAGAGCAGTTCCTTGCCTTGAGAGAAACACAAAGTCTTGCACAACTTGCTTGGTTGAAGTACTGCTGTATGACTTTGTTCTCATTCCTGAATGGGGCAGCTCTTCGGCTGCTGGTGCCGTGCGGATCGCGGCTGTTGTGCTGACTTGTGCTGATTGCTCTGCCCACCTGACTGCAGATGTTTTTGACTTTACCTTAAGATCAGGATCAGGGGCTGCACCTGTACAGCCTAGGCCACAGAGTGCTTCCCCAAGGGAGCTGCCCTGCCCTTGGGAGGGCTCTCTGGGATGGCTGCCCCAGTGCCGGCAGCATTTGAAGAAGTGCATCAACCTACAATGTATGTTTGCCCCAAAATGAGAATTACTTTCAGCACATGTCACGCCCGTGTTTCTTCTGACCCAGTGATTTTCCAGCCAGCTCTTGGCAAGCGTTCTGTTCATCGGAGTGTGTGGAGAAGTGATTTGCCCACATCTGTGGGCTGATAAATGGCACAGAGGCACCAGGTAACGCAGTTACTACCCTTAGTGTTCTCAGTGTCCTGTGGCTTGGGGGGAGCACTCAGTAATCTCACTTTATTTCCTCGCAGTGCCTTTGTCCTCGTGAAGCTTTCTGGACTGACAGGCAGACGCTGCCCTGCACACTGCTCCTGCCATCAAGATGGCCAATATTCAACAAACCCTCCAGTCCAGGAGTCAGCTCCAGCTGCTGGGATGGGGGAGAGGACATCGCCCTTCAGATCAGGTCCCAGGCTTCTCTTCTCCCACCGGCACTGCCCGAGGGATGCGGGTGTCTGTTCCTTGCTAACAACAACAATCTGGCCCTTCTCCTTCGGGGATGTGCCGTTGCCAAGCGTCCTTTCATGATTATGTTGGCCACTGTTGGCAGCGGTAGCACGTCTCTTTCTGCCCTGCACAGCCAGAAGGGCACCTTCTTCACCTTTCAGCACAGACTTTCTTGACTTGCCGTGGAGCTTTGGGCTCTTCACTGTGTTCTGTAGGGGAGGCAAATCCCCTCCACTTCTCTCCTGCAGAGGCACTGGGTGGCCCCAAGCCGCTGGCAGCAGGGTCACTGGGAGGATGTCCTTGAGGCCACCTGGGAGGAGTCACCATTTGTTCTTCCCAGCTGTCCCCACACCTTGGCTCACCCCAAAGCCAGGTTTGTGCTGCAGTGCGCTCACCGCTGCTCTGGCCTCATGCTGAGAGTTTTCCTCCGTGTCTGCACCCCTCTGTAGTGAGACTCAGGAAACCATCCGACTCTGCTGCTGACCTCCTCTCTCCTGCTTTACACAGCTGTTCCCAGGATAAAGTTTCAATTATTACGTGCCCAGCTTTCTCCAATTGGAGAACTGCTAAAAACCCACGTCCTTTGCTCTGTTTATGGTTGTATTTTCAGATCTGTGGGTTTTTGTGTGTGAAACAGCCCTCTCAGGTGGGAACAAAAACAGGCACAAGGCTGTGCAGGAGGAACAACATCTCTGAAGTTTGCCAAAGCGTGTGTCAAGCAGGGTGTTGGCAGGATGAGCGGCTGTGGGTGATGGCTGAAGGGGAAGGTGGTCAGCTCTGCCTCAGTGTGCAAGGAGTGAGTGTGTCTTCATGCACACACAAAGGGAAAGGGAAGTATTGCACATGCTGTGCGTCGCCGGCTGCACCCTCTGCAACTCAGAGCGCAGTCAAAGTCTGTGGTCATCGATTCTGCTGCTGCTAAGGTCCCAGTACAGTCACATTACTCATACGTTTAAGTATTTTGCTGAACCAGAACCTAACTCAGTAAATTCCTGCTGGAAGTAACCATTACAGTGGGATTAAACAATGCTGAATTTCCCCTAAAGAATGTCCCACGTGAGAAATGGTACCAACCTCTACAAAGCTGTTTTCAGTGAATTCTTTGCAGATTTGCTGCTTACAAATGCTATTTTTTGAACCCGGATCCCAAAAAGGAGTTCTGTGCCGTCGCTCTTGCGCCCGTGTGTCCCTTTGCAGCAGGAGCCTCCTTCCAAGTCTGATCCTGGATCCTGACGTTGGAGGACCAGTTCAGTGGCGTGGTCCAAATCAAATCTCTTTCAGGTTGTCAAAAAGCACGTACTTGGCATTGCTCAGATCAGGTTTTACCTTCATTTGTGAAGATGAGAAACAGCATCTTCAGCATTAACTTTTATCTTCAGGTGTAAAGGAAATCACTGGCTGCAGACAGTCAGCAGGGAGGGTCATTGCCCCCTCCCTCAGTGGCCCCTCTGGGATTTGCCTCCCCAGACAGCCAGGAGCACCAGCAGGTTGCAGACGGTGCTGCCAGGATGGTGGCAGAAAGGCTGCAAAGTGAAGCTGGAGAGCTGAGTTTTCCCTTTGCTAAGGTCAAAAGTACACTTTAGGACACTTTTTGTGAACGATCGTGCTCCTGACATGGCTGCTGAGGATTAGATGTTTCAGCAATGACTCAGAGGAAAAAGGTAAATAAACATTTTTTATTTCAAACACGGGATTAAATTCCTCCATGTCTAGATCATTCAAGGTAAAGCTCCTTTAATCTTTTCATTGCAATCTGCAGACTGTTGTCTGTGACAGCTGCGGCACCGGCTGGGACGTTGGGTAGCAAATGCTGCAGCGGGGACGTGGGAGGTGGCAGAGAGGACAGAAGGTGGCCAGGAGCACCGGGCCCCAAAGCGGCCGCCTCGCTAGCAGTATGTGGGCTATGAAGAAGCCGGATTGTTCCTTCTGGGAACGTGGGGTGTAGAGCTGAAGAGGCTGAAGTTTCACCCAAACGGCTTTGCAAAGTGGAGGCTGAGAAACCGTGGTGTGAGAAATGAAGCTGTGGTAAGGACAACCCCAGCAAGGACGTGAGGGCGCTGGCTGTGCCAGCGAGGTTCCTTTCTGCGCAGCAGTGAGGCGAGCTCCTGAGCAACCCCATCTGGGTCTTCGTGGGCTGCACTGTGCTGGTGCTTGGCCTGAGGACCTCTTTTGTCCCTGCTGCCTCACAGGACCGGATCTGCAGTTCCAGGGTTTGTTGGATGTGCAGCCACTCATTCCAGTGGGCTCACGCTTACCAGCTCCGTTCCAGCTGCACGTTTGATGTTGCCCTTGTACCAGTTTATAAAATTTATCTTCACCATCCAAAGCCTTTCTGTAGATGGTGTTCGTATCAATCAGAAAATACTGGGTTATGGAGTGCCAAAAAAAAAAAGGGCTAGCAAGAAATCTACAATATAAAGACAATTTTATTGCCAATAAGCTCTTAAAACTCTTTTTTTTTTCCTGTTTCAGTAGGACCTTATTCTTCCTGATGAAAATCCGGTCATAGCATCTTTCATTAAAAATAAAATTATTTTGAAATAAATAAATATATAAAATAAATATCATATACATTTTATAAATAGTTTTGTCCCTATGCACAGTATCCATGCTTACATCTGAATAATGTTCCTCACCCCATTCCCACCCCAACAGCAGGAAAAACCCCACACACCAGGACCAGTCCATGTAGTATCATCCGTGTAGCAAGCTGCTGGGCTGCTGCAGCAGGGTGCCATCTGAAAGGCTGCTTCTTAGCCAGAAACCATCCCGAGCTTATCAGAGGCATCTGGAGCAGTTCTGTGGTCTTTAGTTTTCCTTCCTTCCCTTGAATTCTAGTTGGTTTATTTTTTTCCCTGGTTAACAAGTTTGCTTGCCTGTTTGTTCTTTTAAGCAACCATAACACTGACTATTTGGCCTCTCTTACAGCCACCAAGTAAAGAAAGTGAACAAAAATGAAAGATTATATGTAGGGTTCCCTCCCTTCCCCTATCCCCACCCCCATAAATAACCCAGGTTTGATATACACGTGAAACAAGGAGGAACAGCAGTGTCTGGATTCAACGTAAGTGCTTTCCTATGTCATCTACATTTACAGGAATGATGGAATGACTATTAATATAGTGCTCTGGGAAAAAGCTTGGGAGCCCAAGTATGTACATCGATAGGGCAGCTGCAGGAAACATCACCTGTAGTGGAAGAGGTCTCTGTACATTGCAGGTATTTTAGCAGGGTCCACGGGCCTTGGTAAAAAGTGAGTGAATTTCTGATGTCTCTTAGTCCTGTACCCCTCGCGGGGGGAGCCGTCCTTGTTCAGAGCCACGTAGTAATGCCTCTCCGAGTCCGCGTGCTTGTAGAGCGTGGAGGCGTACGTGTTGTACCAGTTCTCTTCAAACTGCTCTCGGAAAACACATTCCCTTGTGAGCTTCTTCTGCGTTGGGGCAGAGGTGGGAGAAGAAAAAGATACGTGTCAAAAAAAAAAGAAAAAATCTTGCTATTTCTTCCACTTTATTATTCTATGGTTTTCTTAGCTACCTGCTGCTGGCTGCCCTGAGAATGGAGACTGTGCTGCCAGGGATGATTCCTGTGGGTGAGAGCTAGAAACTGGCACGTGCCTGGACTCAAAGGCCTTTGAAGGAGGAGGAGGAGGAAGGAGATGGAAGGAGAAGGTGTATTTTGCAAAGGCTCGCCGTTAGAAACAACACAAGGCTGCTGCAAAACTCTGAGCATGGCAGCCAGGTGTCTGCAATGGGGTGTAAATGTGGAGACTGCTGTGGGACCGGCAGCATTTGTGTGCTGTGCAGGGGGTGCCCACGCAGGGCTGCACGCAGCAAATGTGCTCTGTGGAAGGGGCACCTCCCGGCAGGAGCAGACTGCGCTGCGTTGGAATGATTTAAACAGCGGCGAGTGCCACTTTGAAAGTTCAAGGCACATAATAAAATAATACACACTGTAACATGAATGAAAGCATTCCTCAGGCCTTTCATCTTCTGAAGCAGCAGATAGCTGTGATGTGAGGCCATAACAAGACTCGGGGAGGTCTGGATGCCTAACCTGGGAAGATTTACGGCGGCGATAGGTGATGCGATGAGCGCGTGCCAGCAGCGGCACAGAGCCAGTGCGCGGCTGAGGCAGCCCATGCTGGGCGCAGGGATGGGTGCCACGGCTGTCACACAGCCACAGCCCCTCTGACCCTCACCCAGGGAACAGCAGCACGTGATGGCTTTCAGGCACTGCCCATCACCCAGATGCCACGTGGGCTCCTCTCGCTCCCTCCATGCTCTGGGGCTGTGCTCCAGTGAGGACCCGGTGTCCCCTGTGTGATGGCCTGGGAGGGGCTCTGGAGGCCTTCCAGATGAAAGGCAGTCTGCAGACGTAGGATGTTCTAATATTACAAACACTGTACCCACACAGTAAACTATTTAGGTAGGGAATGTGTCTTATCTGTGCTGTGCTAAGTGCTAAGTAAATTTTATTGCCTGCAGTAGACGTTTTGTAATAAGATACAGGAGCTCACCTGCACTCAGAACCTGTTTTGAATGTTTTGCTGCTAATTAAATCAACCCTGAGGTAACATGTGAGTCCTCCAAGAGCCAACCCCACAGCTCTCATCACCTGAGATCTGGGGAACTGCAGGTTTCTCTTCCCAGACCTATGAATGAATGTGGCTTACCCCCTTCTCCCAGAATGGCACCTACTCAGCACACATGGGAAGCTGCTGCCTTATCCCCGTGTGGTGCCTGCTCCTCTGGGGTTGCTTGGTGGAACTGTGGTGGCATGAAATGTTTTCAGAGTCTGAGGTGACTGCAGGATGTAATTTTTTTTCCTTCCCAGCGCTGGGATGTCCTCAGTGCATGTGCTCTCCTAGCACTTCTTCAGTTGGTGTCCGTGTAACAGAAAGGCTGGGACGTGGGTACCGGGGAGCTTTGTCCCCATAGGAGCAGCACTGGTGTTTGACACTGCTAATTCAGCACACAGGGCGTGCAAAGTGGGCATGGAAGGAAAAAGTGAACTTGCTGAAATCTTATAGATACCATTCCACTGCAGCCTCCTAAAATACCACTGTAATGCTAATGCGACTGCCTGGTGCGTTTCATGTACAAGATGCAATGACAGAGCTCCCATAATTACATCTTAAGGCCAATTCTGCTTCCAGAATTCCTGTGCTGTAAAATTCTGTTATTTCTATGATGCAGCATTAAGACAGGTCCTCAATTTTAATTAACTCTGTTGGTTCATGATCAGAACTGCAGGGCTTGAAAGCAAAGGATAAAAGCAAGTTTGTGCCCTCATTTTTGGCAGGCATGAGTTAAAAAGATGCAATCCCAGGAGCTACTGAACAACCTTGCAGTGTAACAGTGCAACTGAACAGTGGTCCTGCTGCGTGGTTGTAGGTTGAGCTCTG